TCTGCAGTTGCCATCTCACAGACGTGCTGTGGTTTCCCTCTGTCTTTTCTACAAGTATTTTCATGGCATCTGTTCCGACGAGCTACTTACACTGATTCCCAAACTGCATGAATTTAAGCGTGCTACAAATTTGGCATCTCAGTCCCACCCTTTCCCTGTCGAAACGGCTAAATGTAGCCATCTCTTCTACTTCAACAGCTTCTTATCACGCATCTCTCGTCAGTGGAACTCCCTTTCTATCATTTGCTTCCCTGATAGCTACAATCTTCAAATATTCAAATGTAATGTCAATCGACATCTTCTGATGCCTTGACCGTGATCCCCATCCAACTCTTTATCCTTTTCCCAAACACTCCTCTTTACATTTTCACTCTCTGTAACCCCTTGCGTGCTAGTGGCACTCCTGCCTTGCTTGGGGTGATGTGCTTAAAAATAGTATCGTTGATACAGTATTTCAAATGCATGTCCAACACAGGTTGTAATAATTCAGTCAACCATATAGCGTAATTCATGTTGGACTGACCTAATCATCAACAAAATAAACCGAACTGGGATACTGAACTTATGGGTCTTAGGTAATCCATATAACTAGTACCGTAACGAACCAAGCGGACTGACGACACCAAATCTCTATTTGAGATAATTTTTCTTTCAGCAATTTGAACGGATACATTTGAAAATTTGTCTGAATAATTTTAGTTTTGTCAAAAGACCCAGTCGTTTATAAATTAATGAATTTCTTGTTAGTTAATATTAACATAATATTATTAAATAAATCATTGTGATTCAAAATTACCACTCCAAACCCTTTATCAGGTATAGTAATCGCAACAGATTTATTACTACGTAGATTTTTTTTACGCGCTGCCAAAGGAATTTGAATCGGCCAATGAGAAACCAAGTCGAGGGCCAGATTGAATGAACTGACACTAGGTGCACACTATCCAACGCAAATTGAAATAATTTACTGAACAGAGCAAAGAATCTTGTGATAACCTACTGACCCGGATAAAGAAATCCTCAAATTCAGAAAATATAACTTCCGGTTTTACTAAAAATATTTGAAGATAAATGTTCAGTAGAAAGCAAAATTATATTTTGAAGTTATCTAATTTATTTAGAACTGAAAAGTTTTTAGGGGGGCACGGTGGAGTAATGGATAGCGGCTCGGATTGAGAAATCGGAGAGCCGAGTTCGAATTTCAGTCAAATCCAATTAGGTGCTAATACCCTGGGGAAAGGTATGAATACTGTTCTTCTCCCCCTAGCTTTGAGTAAATAGACCGGGGTCTGTAGCCTTGGATGACAAATGGTCTACGGCAGAAAGAAATGGCAACCTACTGCGGGAAAAAATCTGTCTCGTGAGTCATGTATCAAAAAGATAGATGATCACCTAAGCGTGTATCACGCATGGCACATAACTGACTGAATGATTTTAGTGATGCAGTTCAATTCAGAACCACAGTCATAGCCTCTGGCTCAGAAAACAAATTTAGTTTTCTGTTTAATTTTCATTTTCAGTAGGGTGCTGAAATCCCCAGACCCTATAACGCCATGGATAAGTTATGTATAAATATTTTCAACTATCATTGCGCATGCGTGCAGTTGTTTATTGTATTTTAACATAAGACATGGCTTTATTTTTCTTCTAAAGTTCAGAGCTGACTAATGCACATTTACATGTGTGTATGTATATGTTCCTATGCGACATCATTCTCATTTAGTTAGTAAGACGAATAGATTAAGTGAGCTAGAAATGAATATGGAGACACCTGAAAATGTTTTACAACGGATGGAACAATCGATAGAAACAAAGAATGCTACTAAGCATTTAGGAAGACACCTTTTTTATATGTTGCCTATTTGCTTCGTTGCTAAATAAACAATATTCTTATTTTGAAGCGATTACTGTCATTATTTGAAGGAGTAAAAGCCGATTTCTGTTCGTAAAACCCAGACTATTCGTTTTTTTTTTCTTAAACGAATGCTAAAGCTATAGAGACCGAGTGCTATTTCCAACTGATCTGAAGCGTCTTCCTACAATGATTTAACTTCGACCGACAAATAAAAAAAAACACACACGAATGATGTTTTGATTAATGATGTTTCTCTGCATGCCAACATTGAGTTCATTTCGGACATTGTATGAACTTGCGTTACATTGTAATCGATAATTTTTTATAAGAATAAATTATAGATAGTTTTACTTAATTCACCCGCATAACATGGACCTATATAATCAATGCTTGTTACTTTACATGCATACTTATATACAGTAGCGTCCAAAACTAAGGGACAAAATTTTAAAACCTAATATTTGTTAGAAATAACAACTGTGAAAAGCTGAAATTTTGACAACAGGTAGTCGTTATCATTCATAATAACATACTAAAATTTGAATCATTGCAAAGGATAGAAAAAGACTTATAACAATTATTTATTTATTTTCAAATTTGGAACGTCCAAAAGTAAGGCACAAAATTGAGAAAAACAATGTAAACGGCAAAAAAACAATAAAAATACATGTTCAATCAATATTTAGTAAATGAGCCCTTGCTCTCAATGACAGCTGCACATCTTCGACTACAAGAACGAATCAGTTCTTGACAATCCTCGATACTAATTTTAGACCATTCTTCTTGAAGCTTCACCCACAAATCCTCAGTGTTAGTGGGATTTATTTCCATAACTTTCACTCCTAAGGTCTTCCAAAGATTTTCTATTGGATTTAAGTCAGGACTTTGCGGTGGCCAATCCATAATTTCCAAATCTTGCTCGCAAGGTAACTCATTACCACCTTTGCCTTGTGACATGGGGCATTATCTTGCATAAAGGTAGCCCTATCGAAACCTGAATTCTGTATGATTGGCACGACATGATCTTGAACAATGTTTTTATAGATCTGCGCGTTTACACGAGTTTTTAATCGGACAAGAGGCGTTGTACCTTGGCTAGAAAACATTCCAAATACCATGACGCTTCCGCCCCTAAACTTGACAGTTTTCTTAGTACACTTTGCACTTAATCTTTCACCAATACGTCTCTTTACATTGTTTTTTCCATCATTTCCAAATAAATTAAACTTGCTTTCATCACTGAAAAATACTTTTGCCCAATTTTCATATGTCCAAATTACATACCTGTTTGCAAACTCTAATCTCATCTTCTTATTCTTCGAACTAACAAGTGGTTTCTTCCCTGGGGTTCGATTAAACAGCCCTATTTCTTGCAGTCGTCTACAAACAGTCTGTCTTGACACATTAACACATGAGGTACTATTCATAACCCTTTTAATTTCTGTGCAAGACTTAAAACGGTCCTTTAATGACATACGCTGCATTATTCGATCTTCTCTTGCCGAAGTTTTGCGGGGTCTGCCGGTTTTAAAAGCACTAACTATTTTGCCAGTATCATTGTAGGATTTAACAACCCTGCCTACAACACTATTGGAACGTTTCACTTTCTCTGAAATCTCTCTAATGGTGTGCTTTTCCTTGTGTAGCTTCACAATAGCTTGTCTCACAGAGTAATCAAGTTTTTGGCGTTTCGCCATGGTGCCGGCTGATGCAACGTTTACAAATGACTAAGTAAGACTTATTCTTTAGAGGAAATCAAAAGAATTGAATATAGTTTACATTGTTTTTCTCAATTTTGTCCCTTACTTTTGGACGCTACTGTATATATATATATATATATATATATATATATATATATATATATATATATATATATTGAACAACAAAAAATATTAAATAATTCAAATCTTCAGACACACTGGATTGTAGATTAATATTCTTTCGTCTTTTTTTTATTATTTCACTTAGATTCCTCGACTAGTTTCGGCCAAAATGGCCATCATCGGGAGAAGAAATATTTCTGCTTGCTGGTAGCAGTAAACTACAGAAATAAATGTCTTGATGGAAAAAATGAACTTTTGTCTGTAGTTTTCATTTTTTTTTTTTATCTTTTTAACATGAATCTTTTAATATTCCTTGTGTTGGTCAAACAATCTCTTTTAAGTTGTTATTTGAGATAAGACCTGGATGGATCTATGCTGCTCTGAATTCCCCTGGTCAGTTTACCAGTTTTATTGGTCCTGGAGAGGGGATGGGATGTGTCTCTGTTTAGTGTTTGTGTGTGTGTTATTTGGTTCTTAGGGAGTGAGCGAGTATGATATGTGTAAGCGTGTGTATTGCTGTGGGTGTGTGTTATCATTTGGCTCATTAGGGAGGGAGTGAGTATGATGTGTGTAAGTGTGTATATTCGTGTGGGTGTGTGTATAAGTGTGAGGCCTCAACACCTCCGTAAGCATGTCTGTCTTGTGTGGGTGAGAAATGTGGGTAGATTTTGATTTGCTGAGTTATATATTAGTACTATCTATGTTGTTAAATTTATGGTTTAGCCTGGTTGGATATTGTGTTTTTAGACGTATATATATATATATATATATATATATATATATATATATATATATATATATAGAGAGAGAGAGAGAGAGAGATAGATAGATAGATAGATAGATATAGGTATAAATATATATATATATATATATATATATATATGCATACTTTTATGTATATATATATATATATATATATATAAAACATGCATATATATGTATTTATATATACAAGAAGTATTCATATATATATATATATATATATATATATATATATATATATATATATATGTATGTATAGTCATCAACATACAAGCAGGTTTCGTTGTCTCACAGCTCATCACAACCCGACCGAACAGTCAGAGATCCTACCCTAAGCTATCGGCGCGCGGTAAAGAAAGGGAAATTTTAACGTATTATATACCAAGCAGCCAAGAGGGCTCAATTCATTAATGAAGCACAGTGCGTTAATAGCAGTGGCGGCTACTGATTTGAAATTACCGTTTTCTCTATAGTGTTCGATCGAATGATGTGATCGTAACACACACACACATATATATAAGGATATATATATATATATATATATATATATATATATATATTCTCGTACGATCACCGAAGTTAAGCCACGTCGAGCCTGTTCCTTACTTAGATGGGTGTACGCTTGGGAATACCAGGTGGTGTAAGCTTGGATGTGTAGATGGTATAATTGGTAATGACTCCGAATTGGAAATCAGTGAGTCGTGTTCCAGTTCTGGAAGGGTTTGTTATATTCACTTGCACACAAATAACCTGAGAAAAGGTATGAATCCACATCTTCTCACCCAAGTATGGGTTAATTAGTAGGATTTGTATCAGTAAATTATTATTATCTTCAGAAAAATCTTATAATCTAAATATTATTTCTGGTTTTAAATAACCTGCAAAAGTTGATAAGCCTTAAAAAGAAACCAATCAATCAATCTATCCATCTGTATATCTATCGATCTTTCGCTTTCTCTCTCTCCCTCTCTCTCTATCTCTCTCTCTCTCTCTCTCTATATATATATATATATATATATATATATATATATATATATATGTCTCTGTGTGCGTATTTGTGTGTATAATTGTGCGTTTGTACAGCATTCCTTATTTATACATTTTTAAAAACGATAGTCAAGCACTACGTCAAAGCTTTTAATTAATTTTTCTTCTGTTTGTATAAGTCTTTTTTTATCTGGACATAAAGTGTGTAAAAATAGTCCATATGTTTTGTATGTCCGAGCGCTTTCGGCGATTTTTTGTCCATTATCAAGTGGACATTTTAAAGAATTCTAACTGAATGTGTAGATTTTAATATCTATATCATGAGTTATAAGAATGTTTTTTATTTTCCAAACACAGGCAGCACATCAACTATGAACGCCTATTTTGTATGAGGCACAAACACACACAGACTGTCGCCATTCACTGTTGACCTCAGTGTTCACTTTTATATTTATATATATATATCACATAAATGAGCCAACGCACAGATGTTGTAATGAAACTATTTTCCAGTCATACAAATAATTGAGTTCGCTAAATCGAGTGCTTTCGTAAATTTGTCAATTTACTGTGATGTTTATACTAAAATAACAGATTTTCAATAATTCTAACTTATTCATACTGACTTGCAAAAGACAATAGTGTCCAAAATCCATATGTTCGTATGTTTTAAGAGTCTTGAATGCAATGTCTCGAAATAATTTTGCATGATAAAATCCGATATAGCAACTGTAATATAATGCTTCAGTCAGATGGATTCAAGCATATCAGCCAATGAACTGAACGCATTTCATGGAGATGAATGTATATGATAATAAAACTGCATATAGCAATTGAATTATAAAGATTGAGACAGAAGGATTCAAGCATATCAAACATTCTAAATGTACAATGAAGGATTCAGAGAAACTCAGACTAAAAATAAATACTGTTTTAGGATTCATTATTAGCGGCCATAATCTTAACAACATAAGATATTCAGATGACACAATGTTATAAAAAACTGAAAGACAATAAGAGGAACAAGAACTCCTACAGTGGCTAGTGTAGGAAAGCAAGAAGAAAGGACTAAACATCAATTGTAAGAAGACAAAATGCATGATTGTTAGTAAAAAGAAAAGACCAACATGCAAATTACAAATTGGAGATATCAAAATCAAATAAGTATAAAAATTTAAATATCTGGGAAGTGATTTAACAGAAGATGGAAAGTGTGACATTGGGTAACAAAAGATGCCTTCCAAAAGCTAAGCAGAGTATTAAGAAATAACAAAATTTCGTTGGAAATGCAAGTCAGTAAAGCCACTAAGACACAAGGGGTTACAGGGTGTAGAAGAATTAGGAACAGAAACATTAATAATGAGAAGGAAGAGGAAAGAGTAATCAGGAGGACATTAGATAGCGATTGACATTACATTTAAATTTTTGTAGATTAAAGGTGGCTAGAAATCACGGAGCCGCAAGGGAGTTCCACAAACGAGAAGTGTGAGAAAAGAAACTGTTAGCATAGCACTTACCGCTACATTTAACCAGCTTAACTGTAAATTGATGAGATCTAGACGACAGTCTAGTACTGTGCTTAAATTCATAAAGTCTAGGCACCAAATCAAAGAGCAATAATTATTTGTAATTATTTACACAATGGGACACAAGGCAAAAATGGGTGGGGAGTGTGGGGAAAAGGGCGGTCATCTGTCGTAACTTTAAACATAGTTACCCACAAACACTGACCCGAACATACCAAAATATTCCTAATACCAAAACAACGCATTCTTAGTTACCTTTCTTATTGCACCCACCATAATACCTCATTGTCTCTATGAAAGTCCTAACTAGTTCCCATATGTACAATTCATTGTCTGTGGGGGAGATAAAACAACAGTTTAAAAACTAGCCACAAAGATAATTGACAATATGAAAACAAAACTATTTACAAGAAACCAAATCAAATAATGTTAGTATTAAAATCCCCACAATTCTTAAATGTCTCAGAAACATCAGTTCACTGGACGAAATCAATGCAGGACTTTAATAATATAAAACATTCATTCATCCCAAGCACTCACTCAAACACACGTCAAAGCGAAGAGCGATATTTATTTTAGCTCATCTGAATAATTACCATGAAAGTATTTATAGAAAAGACACTGAGAAGCAAACTTACGGTGGTGGGAAAGCAACTGAAGCCGAGCTGCCAGATCAGGATCAATAATACTGCTGATTTTTCTTTAGATTTTATTATGGAGCTCAATTATAGATGTCGAAGAGAGTTAATTTATAATAGAATATATATAATCTTACGAAGCACAAGACAAAAATACGAAGACGGTAAACAAAAATATTAAGACTAAGTTAATCTTTATGAAGGAACCAAACGTTAAAATGGCAGACTTACTTTAATGAGAGCGCCACGTTATTTATTTCTAAGATCCATGGCTTTTCTATATCTGGCCCCAGTTCAAAAGCAAGCGCATATTCAACATCTTATATCACTAATCAGCTGGACAAAACCAATGTTTGTCCTTGGTTCATATGCATAAGTATGTGTATGTCACTCCTCACGTTAAAACGACCTTGTGTCACATCCAGCCTTGGTGCCAATGCCAGGCAAGTATACCTAACTACTAAAATCAACCGATATTTCAAATGGACTCCAGCCGTAAGCTTCTTATGATCAAGGAAGGTAATGATTGTTGATTAAATTCTGATTTAAATAACTGAGCAAAAGAGAGAAAATAACGGCACAAACAAACAAAAGAAAGGTCAATGGGTGATTGTTATGAATTTCTATTTCACTCTCAGATCAAAAGATGTTAAATTTACTATTTGAAAAAATTCTTGTCTTTCTTAAAAATTGAGTTTATGTTATCCTAATAAGATAAATATTTTATTTGGAGGAAGCTTAAAAAAGTTTTTGTCTTCGCAACTGTTTAATTTTTCTCTTTATTCAGCCACTTTTATTTGTTTCTCATTGACATAATTGTTTTTGACTTTGCTAATAATTGAAATTCTTTTCATTTGCTGACTTTGCTTATTATTTTCTCACTTCATTTCTTTCAGGCATTTTTTTAACTCATTGATTTCAGAGTCATCGTCCCTCCTCCTCCTCCTCCCCTCCTGTTCCTCCCCTCCTGTTCCACCCCTCCTCTTCCTCCCTCCTCTTCCTCCCCCTCCTCTTCCTCCCCCTCCTCTTCCTCCCCCTCCTCTTCCTCCTCCTTCTTGCTTTTAGTTTTTTTTGTTTATTCTCAGTTCCTGTTTATTGAAATAAGTTTATTGACTTTTTCATCTTCAATAAACATATTTCATATTTCGTTGACGATTCCGTTCTTTTTTTCGGTATTAGTTGCATTTTAGTCGTAATCGAACTTAACGCTCAAATTAAAAAAAGTAATTTTCCCTATAATCTCTTGCTTAAAAATCCTCTAAAATATTTTTAAAAGCTATTGTCATCAATGTAAATATTTACTTATCGCTTGCATAGACCTCATGAATCATCATAAATAATAACTTAGAGTTTCCAATTCATCATTGAGACTTGGATCATGAATGAATCTTACGTGTATGGTTAGAAAAAATTTTAAACAATCATTGATGACCCCCTGCTGATCTGCAATGAAACGTCAATTGACAATGCACGCCGTTTAAGGATTAATGCCCAATCCTTTCTTTACGTTTTCCGCAAAAAATTTGTTTGATATTTCTTTGAATCTACCATCAAGACGGGTGTCGTTTGTGTATCGTATGTTGTTAAGATCCTGTAAGGCGCTTTAATTCTCTTAGAAGGAAACCATTATATAGGTTGATTAAATACGATAAGAAAAGTTTACTTAATGTTTTGTTGCACTTACGCAATCAGTCAGTTCTCTATTCACACAAAAGTCGTTTGTTTCTCATACAATTTGCATATTGTGCTTTTATCTTAGCTATTCAGGTAAAGATTTTCTAAAATTTAAAGATATTTTTGTATCGAAAGTCTCAGTTTCAACATCCCACTTCGATGTACATGAGGATGATTACTAGCATTTGGAAGAAAATCATTGAAAAAGAAGAATAAAACCTGTGAAAGGTCTCATAAACTACGAATGGTGTTGCTTTTATTTAAAATTCTACTTGCTATAGTTAAAAAAATACAGTGATGATGACATTTACATCATTTTATGTTGATGAACCTACTTTTGTGATTTGATATTTAAATACTTGGTTTAGTTGATTCGTTTCCAATGCCTTATCAGCCCTTTGTAGATTATTTAAAGCCAAATACATTTTTTTTAGATAATAATGGTCCACTGATGTAAGTCTTACTAATTAACCCATAGGTCGATGTTTTTTCGCCACTGACCGAGTCATTTAAGATAATGTTGTGGGTCAGTGTCGGCGTGTGTGAAAAACACAATAAACAAGACCGCCATACACAATTTACATTATTCGGACTATTGTCCTAATCTTTGTTGCCATATTTATCACAACGTTTCAGGTGGTTGGAATGTCGAACTGATTCCTTTATTTCGCTCGCTGGGGTAGACTGTTCTAGTTCCACGCACCATGTCAAATGGATATCAGTTATCAGTTATTCTTCTCTCCAAGTTCTCCACTGCCTTAACCAGGTATTGAACTCACAACTCATTTGGGTCCTGTCACTGGATCTTACCAACGCCTTTATTCACTGAGCCATGTTTCCTTAAGGACATCAGTGTATGAATTTCTGGGACTTATAAACTTAATGTCTTCAGCAACATTTTTTTTTACCAGTGCTCATATTGCAATTTTTACTGTTATCATTGCATGTTTTTACCAGAGCTGATAGTGCAATTTTCGTTGTTATTATTGCTTTGATCTGATTCTCCTTATTACTTATTCCCATATTGTATTTATTTCTATGCTTGATCGGCTCAGGAGATTTTTGTGGCCTAGCGTATATGCTGATTCCTTAAGTTTACGAATATTCCAATGATTTTCTTTGTCTATGATTTCAACCTGCTCCCACAGAGGGCGGTGATCTACCTTTTCTCTCCATATGTGGTCAGCCACGATTGATTTTTTTCCACTTACCATCGTGTTATAGCTTTCTGGTGTTCTTGAAGCCTTACCTTAAGGAGGCGCTCCCTTTCCCCTTTATATTTCCGCAGCTGCACAATCTTTAGTCATATTCTCCTCTATGGGGGCGTCTTACTCGGGAAAGGTATTTTCGAATTGTCGTTCAGCTTTTGAAAGGTTGTCCTGATGTTATATGGATATTCCAACCATCTGAAGAAGGCTGAAACGATGTGATAAATATAGCAACAAAGATAAGAACTATAGTTCGCATAATGTAAATAGTGTACATAATACCTCATCTCAGAAATATAAACAGAATACCGCGATAGTTAATAAAATGGGGAAAAAAGGTTTTATTCTATCTGTGCGGCCTAATACCGTATGGTCCACGGCTCGGTACCAGTCCATGGTGAGATGGTTGTGGACGCTGCTATAGCTGGCAGGAAAAGATGTGGATATATACCTTTCCCAATGATATTTACACGTAAGTGAATATAGCGAATTCAGTGAGAATTGGAACTCGATTGTCCGATTAAAAATTCCGAGCCATTATCCATTACACCACCTGCACATCCAAGCTTACAGCCGCTTGTATTCCTAAGTAGTCACCCTTCAAGGTACTTACCAGGCTCGACGCTGCTTAAGTTCGATGATCTTACGGGAATCTGTGTTTCAACGTGATCTGGCCGTAAGCCCTTGATATTTAAAGGAAGTATTTATATGGTGCATTCTCAAAACAAACGCAGCAACGGCGGCTTAGCAATTTGCTATTGTTTGGACTAAATTGCGATACTTAAAGCCTATAAGTGTATAGACAAGGAGGAAAATATATTTTCCAAGTGAGCGGCATATTTGATCAGTCCTTAATAAAGTTATCCTGGAACTGCAGCTGACAGAAAAAATGAATCTGCTGGGTTTTCGCTCATGTGAAGACGTCTTCTTGCTCTTTCATTTTTATATATATATATTTTTTTGTAGTCGCGCTTAACTAATCATAACAGGATGATGAAGATTAGTCAGCCTAATCAATTTTTTATGGGCAGTCTTCACAAGACTGTTCCATTTTTGGAGGCGCTGTCATCATATATTAACCTATTTGGCTGCCATAACCCACAGCAAAATTTATCGCTTCTCTGCTATTTCCTTACACATTCTCAGACTACGACTGTCACGCATTGCTTTCTTCTATTAGGTTGTGCCACAGATAATGCCTTTTTTTACTTAATATTTTTACCGTTTACCGAAGACAATTACATGTGCTATTTTTAATAATACATTATTTGTAGATTATTTAGTAAAAATCTTATTTCCCTTCATTAATTCTGTTATAATTTCAGGCAAATGGGAAAAGTCTTTCAAGATATAATTTTCGAGTTTTAGAGTTGTGTGTGTTCAAATAGCCTTGTCATGCATTTAAGTTGCAAAGAATATAAATTCTATATTTCGTACAATGTTATTGGTGAACGAACGAAAAATGGTTAAAAGAATTTGTACAGGATGCATTATTTATAGAACTCGATAAAGATCCATTGCTATAATGAAAATTTGAGGCCTATGTTAGAAAATGATACAAGAACTTAAGTAAGAAACTTCTGGTCAAATTCAATGTATTCAGATGATCTTTTTCAGATCTGTTTTAAATTACTTAAGAACCATAATAAAAAAATAGCTGCTTCAGTATTTTTAATTAAATGCAGTACAAAAGATCTTGTTGCTTGAATCACATTTAAAGGTATTGATCTGTTTTTACTTGTGATAAAGAAAGGATTTCATATAATTATAATGTATAATGTATACTAATTAAAATTGGCCTGCACAATGGCAGATGAAAAAAAGTATAGTATCAAGCAAAATTTAGCTATAGTGTAAAGTTTTGGGGGAAGAAATGAAGTTTATCTGCGAGTTGTTCTCATGGATGAACAATGCCACGAGCGTGATGTGCCTTTTAATTTCTTTTATCAGATTGCAATCTGCCACGTTAATGTTTTCTATTAGAGAAATGCGAATGTTCAAATTTGACACATACTGCATAAAACAACGTTAGGTCGTTTCTATTAATGGATTATGTGAGTGTGTCCTCAAATAACTGTTGCAACTTGTATTTTCGTCTATTCTCATTTCCGAGTGCTTCATTTCTTTTGGGCTTGGTGTATCATCTGTCTTTCACGCTTATTCTCTTAATTTCCGGGTTGGTGTTCATCTTCTTCTTTGTTGAGTTAATCTTTTTAATAGTGTACACGGGTATGAGTACACGTGTCATAACGGTTATCGGCGCCGAAAAGGCATCGACGAGCTGAGGTCAAATTCCGTCTCAGGCAGTTCACGTCGCATGAATGTCCTTAGGAAAGATATGAATCAAAACTGTTCTCAAGAAAGGTATTTTATCATTCGCATGGCTACTAGTTTAAGAAAAGTACAACTCTAAATTCAAAACCGTGTGGATTACTGCAACAGGAAACTGTTATTTTACTACCAAAACGTTAAGTTTCAGAGTGGCAATTTAAAGCCCATTGCTCACTTGGCTTGGTAGAGATTGGAGAAGGTATGAGGTACGCATTGAGCTTAGAAGATAATCGTATATATATATATATATATATATGATGGACTCTCCCGTCGTTTTCAACGTATGAGTGTCTTTCAGTTTAGTTTTTGCGTTTATGTTTTGTATGAGACTACAATCCTGCAGGGGATTTGCAAACAAATCCACACGAAGTTTTTGACCGACACATGGGCTGATGTATTAGCCCGAGAGTTAGTGTTAATTCTTAATTCTCTCAGATCTTGGAGACGATTCTTTTCAAAGTTAGTTATACCTCGGTAGCAGTTATTTCTCCAGATCAGTTTTCAACAGCAATTTCGAAATCCATATAACTGTATATATATATATATATATATATATATATATATATATATATATATTCCTAAAATATATATATTATAAATTAATTGATTTAAAATATGTTTTTTTCCGCTACACAGTTCTAACAATGTTTCAAAAATAGAAGCTAAAAGCCACGAATTTAATTTGGCAATTAAATTAAAAGCATTATTCCATTTCATCCTCAAGCGAGGATGAAATGGAACTAATGCTTTCTATTTTTGAAACATGGTTAGAACGGTGTAGCGGAAAAAAACATATTTTAAATCAATTAATTTATAATATTAATGCTCTGTAAATTTACATTGAGCACTATTTTGTAAAAATAAAAATATCTATAAGAACACCGGATTATATACTTGAAGATGAAACAGAGCTTGATACTTTAATTCAATTTAATTGTAATAATTATATTGAAGTTTTCAGCTCTTGTTTTTGAAACATGTGAACTCTTATATAAGCGTAGAAATCATATTTTTTAAAAATAATTATAAGTAAAATGGAAAATTTAAAAAAAAATAATTATAAGTAAAATGGAAAATTAAAAAAAAAACAAAACTAGAACTTGTAAAACTTGGGATGACCCATGCCCTTTATGCCTACATGAAAAACTACACATTATCAAGTTTCTAAATAATGAAAATTTATTAAACAATAGACATGAGTTAACGGTTTTTTGCCGACATTATCAAATTTTAGCATTGTATAATTAGCATAAAAACAAACAAACAATGAAATAATTTTTAAATACTATAGTCTAAATAAATAGTTTAAATACCCTACAAAACAAAAAAAAAGATAACCCTGTATGAAGTCGTCAAAAAAACAAATGTTAGCGACTTATGACAGTTTTTTTTTATATACACGAAACCCTTTCAGAAAAAAATAAAAAATAAAATAAAAAATAAATAAATCTCCATAGACACTTAACCAGACTAGACGATGTCATCTTCTGCTTTAAATTTAGACACCCCAACCTTACCCTGACTTGACGTCTTTGAATGTAACTGAGATATTGATACAAATTATTAACCCTTACGCCCCTTATCTTTAAATAATTGCTCTAGCTGTTACCATAGTAATTTTAATTTTAATAATGAATATGCTTATAAAACGCGTAAATGTCAGGAATTAGTTATTCCAAAAAAAATGTTATAATCCCGCAATTATTTCGTCCTGTTAACTTATGTTTCTGCCACATTTAGGGATTGTGGGTTTTTTTTTATTACTAACCCTATTTTGTTTTGTTTTATGTAAATAGTATTAATTCATATTGTAAATAATCATTGGGGTTTTTAAAATTGTTGTTTCCCCCCCTCCCCCCACAGACTTTGAAATGTACATATGGGGACTAGTTAGGATTTTATAGAGAATTTGAGGTATTATGGTGGACGTAGTAAGAAAGGTAGGAGTGAATGTGTTGTTTTGGTGATAGGACTATTGTTGGTATGTTTGGGTCCGTGTCTGTGACTAGCTAAGTTTAGAATTAAGACAGAAGAAGACCGTCCTTCCCCAACCTCACTTTTGGCCGTGTGCCACATTTTGTACAAACGTACGAATAAATAACTATTCCCCCCCAAAATTCGCTTGAAGATGGAACAGAGCTTGGTACTTTAATTCAATTTAATTCAAATAATTATATTGAAGTTTTCGGCTCTTGTTTTGAAACATGAGAACTCTTATGTAGCGATGGAATCATATTTTTAAATAATTAAATATAATATATATATATATATATATATATATATATATTCAATTTATATTTAAGCTCAATGTCAATCATTATGTTCTTTCTTATTTCTGTTCTTTTATTGTTCTTCATAGTGTTTCTTCTCATATTTTATCACACTCACTGACCTCTTGCGTCTTAGTGTCATTATTGACTTGCTTGGGGTGAAAGGATTAACAATACTTTGTATTGAGCACTTTTAAAAAAAGGTAAATACTAAAGAACTGTAGATTCTAAATCTTTGCTTTCTCTTCATTTGTATATATATATATATATATATATATATATATATGTGTGTGTGTGTGTGTGTGTGTGTGTGTGTGTGTGTGTGTGTGTGTGTGTGTTGTTTGTAATCTTAGGTTTTGTTTGTAATCTTAGGTTTTACGCTTTCGCAAACTTCAGACAAACTGGTTTATTTTTTCAAAAGTGGATCTGTTTATGCTTTATTTGTGTTTGTTTATTTGTGTGTGGTTTGAGGTTATACATGTTAGTTCCTACATACACACACTCATATTCATAATCTTGGGTTAGGCTCAGTTACACTTTCGTGTTCACAAGCACACGTATGTACACAATTTCATTCTGTCTATTTCGATGTCAAGAATGTAGCGTTTCATAAATGTAGCAATGTTTTCTTACAAGGGGATGGGTGGGGACGGCTTTGACATTTTTTTTTGAGATCGGCTGTTTGTTTAAACACACACACACACACACACACAAACTCACGTATGTAAGACGCACACCCACACTCATTGATTTAGGTCTACTATAGGCACCTCCACTATTTTCGGTATAAATTTTTGATACCTGAGTTTAAAAATGAATTTAAATGAAAAAGCATTCTTGAAGATTTCATTTTGACTTTAATTGAAAGCTAGATGATTAAATTTATTATTTCTAGTAAGTAAAATACTTTCGTGTATTTCAAATAGAAATTATATAGATTGGAATGTCTCGATTTTTTAACATTTTCTTAAAAGTGGCCATTTTCTTAATTTTAAGAAATTTGTAAACAAAACAAGTATTATCGGTTTTAAAATTTTCCAAGAATAAAGTATATATTTCTGACACATTATTTGAGTAAA